AACCACCTCCACATCCTCAACGAGGTCACTCGTCATTGATTGTGTGCGCGGAGCGCGACGCTCGTGCTCATCGAGCCTAGAATGTACATCCCTCGGGTGCCGCGGACGCACTGTCCGACATTGTACCGCGTGCGGGAGACGAAGTTGGCTCTGCCCGCGTGCGCTGTCAGAACCAGCGAGACTTGGTGACTTCAGTGTCGTTGACACAGGGCTCATTGAGCACGGAAGTCGTTTTGTTCCAACGAACCAATTTGCAGTGTCTAGTGGACACGCAAGCCACCTGTTTGTGGTAGTAGAGCCAGTTCATCGATCTTGGCAAGTTGAGGCAATAATCAATTGGAACTGTAAATGTATTCAATCTTAATGGAGGAGAGTGTGACAGGGGTTACACGTACTTACACGTACCCTGGTAACAGGGGTGTGTGTTACACGGATGGGCATGGTGTGACTGCAAGCAAATAAGAATACGGTATGTGGTTGGATAGCCAGTAGTTATGCATGTATTTAGACATTAATATATATATAGAAAAATCTATACATTCAAAATTAGGCGGCTTTGCCGCAGATATAAATAAATAAATTCAGGTCTTGATTTAAACGGAAGCGTTAATTAGCCTTGGGTTAAGGCAATAATTACTCTTGGAGTAAGTGGATTGCGATCCGCTAAACTCGTACTCGTTCTAAGCATAGAACGAAAGGTCGGTGACCTAACTTACGCTTCCTCAAAGCGCAAAGCTAAGGCAGCCTCGCTGCAGAAACTGTCTATAAATTATAACCTATGACTAAGTGCAATCTTAGTTTTGTACAAATGTACAGAACTGTAGACGATACAATAGTACCAAAAGTAAAGGGTGTGTTCTACACTTCTATTACATCATCTCCACTATGATATGCACCATACAAGGGCTCGCTCCTTTTGTTTCGAAATATTGTGTAAAAGGGCCCAAACTAAGAGCAAACTCTGCGAACCGAATGAAGAGTGGAGTGGAGCTTTACACTCTACATTTTATCATGCCTTCTCCTCTAAGCATGCTCGAATCAGATTCCCTCAGTGCGCTAGTACAACCGGCACTGCAAATTTCCCAGTAAAGGCGGGGTTCGCGCGACCGAAGCGATTTAGTGTTTTCCGACGAGAACGGTCGAAGAGACTCTCTGAGTCCCTAACGAATATTTTAACCCTCATAAAGCAATACAAGGTCTATTCGTCTATTCGATTTTGACGGAGAAGGAGCTCACTAAGTTCAACCTTTACACGACATGAGTCATGTACACCGTAGTCTCTCTAACGGTAGAAGTATTGCAACACCTCCGCTTTGACTCACAATTGTAGCCAGCTTGTCATCACCAACGAGATGGATTTGGCGCGAGGGGCCTCGCTTGCTCCACTGCACTGCACTTCTAGTGTTGTCCACATCATCACGCTAAGATAACGGATTAAGTCGTCTGAAGCTGGTCTCCGCTCTTGTGTGGATCCCTTAAACCATTTTGCGTACGAACCATCTGCTCACATCAAGAGCAAAATGAGCATCAGAATGTTGCTTCATGAGTCACCAGCTTAGCACTCATGGGGAGTACCGCCTGCGCTTAGAGCAGCAGTTGGCGACACCCGTACCCACTACATGACATTTATAGTAGGTACTAGAAGCTGGTAAAAGTCCCGCTGAGTATTAGACATTGGCGAGGTAAGCGCGCCACCTCACCCGTCTTTAGGTGCTTCAAGCCGTTTCCAGCAAAGTAAATGTCCGCGTACAGCGACGTCTTATGCTTTCCTTCATAAATTAAAGCACGAAGCGGACGACGAGGTGACAAATCATCACATCGAGTTCCTGCTGTTGATAACTATCCTCGTGTACGAGACAGTTGTAACAGCTAGCAACCGATAGACTTATTTACCGAAAATTGGGGTTTGATGGAAAGTGCGTTTCGGCTGGTGACTCTGTTTCTTCTCTTATTGAGAAAAAGGCCGACAGTGCGCCAGGTGATAAGCGACAACGGCATCCAAACAGTCTTGCCGAATTGGGATCTTAAGTTCTCGTATGTCTTCCGATTCAAAGCGATATTATAGTTTGGTGTGGCTCTTGGCCAAATCATCGCATATCTTGCTTACGACACCCATTCTCATCAAGAGTTAGTCATTCATCTTGCCATGGCTGATATCAGCAAGTCGATTTGGTTGACAACCCCTTTCCTCACTAAGACTAAAGTTATTTGTGGCGGTTTCAAATGCACCGAGAAATTTATCAAAACATAAAGAACGGACTGAATATTGTAGTTGCATGTACTTCGTTATTGAAGCAAATATTATTAGTTTAAGCAACTCCCGCAATCTTTCCGTACAAGTTCTTCAGAGGATATTGCGAGTATATACGCATTGTGTCTGATCGTCTGCTTGTGAATATATGGACAGCATATTCATTCTGGCGCCAATAACCTCGAACAATGATCGCCATAGTTCCACCGTAAAGCCCGGATATCTTTTCAAAACAGCAGCTACTGACATATTAGCTAAACCTTATATCTAGAAACAGCTTGACTGTATCCTCACCGATCGCACTATTGCTGGCAGCAAAGAGATGAGCTATCTTGCTCAAATGACCCACAAAGACTATAATGCCGATATTACCGGACGCGTCAAATGGAAGATCCAAAGTAAGGGCACGGGCCAACATTCTACTGGCACCGACAGCATGGCGTATGCGACGAAAAATCAACACGTCGGCTCGTTTCAACTTGCGCACGTATGTGCTTACCCACTTCTTACAGCTCACCAAGGAGTTTCAAGGTGTCCATATAGTATACCTGCTGTAGCATAATGAGTGAAGTCTCTGTCGTGAAAGACACCTATACGCGAGTGCATTGTGGCCGGTGCTAAAATAAATTATGTCTTGGGATAAAGCATAGTGGCAAGGCGGTCTAGACGCACTTTGTGAAACGACATCTAACACATCCTGCGGCTGACTCGGACGATATGCGAAGTGCCTTATCAAATAATGACGTCACCATCGTGAAATGTAACCGCTCATAATATGGACGACGCGAAAGCGCATCCCCCACCATAATAATGACCCAGCTTATATCTACTCCAAAGTAGAATTGGCAAAAAGGACAGTTTTATGAAATTCTTCTCAGGAAATGTTATGACATCGTTTCTGTGCACAAGGGCTCACGGACTGTATATATTTTACACGTGTTCGAGCTTAGATACTGCTCCTTGAACTTCATGAGGACATACCTCATAACAAATATCCTCTTGCCATGACTATGTTACTATCCTATGAATGAATCGAACTAGCGAGTCTCAAACGCTACTGCACATTCAGGTAAATCGACATTTGTCTTGAGCATAGCGCAGCCTGCGGCAAAGGTGGAATCGTCACAGGCGACATGAAAACGACCAACTTGGATTTGAAAGAAATGCTTTATAAAAGCCATGAGGGTTTCTTTCACAGCTTAAAAATATGCCTATTTTGCTGCTCACCAACACCATTTGACACTATATAAGGCGATCGGTGAGATTCATGCCACCTCGCACTGTAGTTGTGCAGTTTGCTATTTATGTCATCACTCTATATCAAGTCGTTTTGGGACGTAGATCCCGATCAATCTACAACATTTGTATCTTAGCAAAATTGTACTGCAAGCTATGCTTTTCACTCAAACAAGTAGAAACGGTACTGTGTCGGTTGGTTAAGACGAACTAGTATATATTATTGAAATAGATTGTTTAAGTGCATAAAATAGAGAACTGTTGGCAAGTGCTCTAGTTGTTTTCCACACCCAACATCGCGCAATCCGCACGCCATCAGTCAAATACATCGATAAAGTTTTACGCATAGCTTGATGGGGTCTTAAAGGCTGTGCCACAAGACGATTGAGTCCGCTGGTTTATAAAATGGCTCTAGCAGTACAATTATCCACTATTTGAGCATTCCCCTCCAGGTGATCACCACAATGAAAGAAAAACGCTGTCTCTCATCAGCAATTGATAGTAAACATCAGCTAGGTCGAGAGAGTTTAAGAGCGTTCAGCCGACGATATGATTTACACCTCATCTTTTAAGGAATCCGTATTTGTGCTGAAAATATAAGCATCAACAATTCTTTTTCTTGCTGCTCGAGGTTTTGACGCTATGTGCCGACTTTAATGATTTACTGCATCTCGCCGAAGCCGCCGCGCGCTTTGCACCGAAAAAGTCGTTAGTGACGCTGTACTATTTTTTTGGTAACGGCAGTTTTACTCACTCTGTATCCTGTGCCTGTGTTCGGTGACAGAATCATCCATAATGGCTGATGAGCCAAGTTTTATCTCCAGAACCAGCGATACCAATTCAATGACCTTACCGTCCTGTGATTACTTGCACATATCCCGAGCAAAATGATTGTTTCCAGTCTACAAATTTTCTGCTGCTGTTATCGTGGGGTGACTCTATAACCCCCCTTTGGATATTCCGGTCGCCTCAATTTTACGATTCAATGGCCTTTCTAACCATTTCCTCGTGGACCCTCACTACTCCGCACGATGGACCCGTACGTACCGTCACATCGTGACTCAAACGATTTATTCCTTTGAGCCACAGCACCTGCTTTTCTACTTGTGACTTGTCATTGCCCTCCAGCTTCGGCTCCAGCTCCCCCGGTCCGGTCCAGGCTACCAAGATATCCATTCACTTCCAATATCCGCCGAAATGGCACAGACCCTCCCCAGCTTATTGCTGTTCTCAACCGTCCCTTCAGAGGAACAGCTTGGGGTCCGAATACACAGTCGTCCTCTACTATCCTGATAAAGAGACGGTCTGGAAACCAAGCTTTATAATTGCACTTGTCTGTAGAATTATGAT